ACTCGTTCATCCATTCCCTTTTATTAATGCAGCAGCAGTCCAAGGGAAAAAAACACAAAATGTCTACATACCCAGTTCTAGTTGTTGTACTTGTGTGCCTATGTCACATGTCTGTGGCAATGGAGGAGAAGAAAACATACATCATTCACATGGCTAAATCACAAATGCCAGATACCTTTGATGATCATACTCACTGGTATGACGCGTCCCTCAAATCGGTCTCTGAATCAGCGGAGATGATCTATGTTTATAAAAACGTTGTTCATGGTTTTGCAGCAAGGCTTACAGCTCAAGAAGCTGAATCCTTACAAACCCAACCTGGGATTCTCTCTGTTTTGCCTGAGCTGATATACCAACTCCACACTACTCGGACACCTCTTTTTTTGGGTCTTGATAAAAGTGTTAATATCTTTCCTGAGTCAGATGCTATGAGTGATGTCATCGTCGGAGTACTCGATACAGGGGTTTGGCCGGAGAGAAAGAGCTTTGACGATACTGGATTTGGACCTGTTCCAGATTCGTGGAAAGGTCAGTGTGAGTCCAGCACCAATTTCAGTTCTGCCATGTGTAACAGAAAGCTTGTTGGAGCGAGGTATTTTTCTAGGGGTTATGAAACTACTCTTGGACCAATTGATGAGTCCAAGGAGTCTAAATCTCCTAGGGATGATGATGGACATGGAACACACACTGCTTCTACAGCAGCTGGTTCACTTGTTCAGGGTGCTAGCCTTTTTGGTTATGCTTCAGGAGCTGCTCGTGGAATGGCCTATCGTGCCAGAGTTGCCGTCTACAAAGTTTGCTGGCTTGGGGGATGTTTTAACTCTGACATATTGGCAGGGATGGACAAAGCCATTGATGATAAAGTTGATGTGCTTTCATTATCACTTGGTGGAAGCACACCAGATTACTACAAAGACAGCATTGCAATTGGAGCTTTTGCTGCTATGGAGAAGGGTATTTTGGTTTCTTGCTCTGCTGGAAATGCTGGACCTAATCAATTCAGTTTGTCCAACCAAGCACCTTGGATCACCACCGTGGGTGCTGGAACAATTGACCGTGATTTTCCAGCATATGTTACCCTTGGCAATGGTAAAAATTTCTCCGGCGTTTCACTTTACGCGGGTGATTCATTACTTAATAAGATGCTTCCCTTGGTGTATGCTGGTAATGCCAGCAATGTAACCAGTGGAAATCTCTGTATGATGGGTACCTTAATTCCTGAGAAAGTTAAAGGCAAAATTGTGCTGTGTGACAGAGGGATTAACGCTCGAGTCCAAAAGGGTTTTGTGGTAAAAGCAGCTGGTGGAGCCGGCATGGTTTTGGCTAACACCGCAGCAAATGGGGAGGAGCTAGTGGCTGACGCCCATTTACTTCCAGCGGCGGCGGTGGGTCTAATAGCCGGCGATGCAGTCAAGAAATATTTATTCTCCGATCCTAATCCAACGGCCGAAATTCTTTTTGGAGGAACAAAGGTAGGAATCCAACCGTCACCGGTTGTTGCAGCGTTCAGTTCCAGAGGCCCAAATTCAATCACCCCGGAGATACTCAAACCGGATATTATCGCGCCCGGTGTAAACATTCTGGCCGGTTGGACCGGAGCCGTCGGCCCGACGGGGATGGCTGAGGACGATAGACGGGTCGAGTTCAACATTATCTCAGGCACATCCATGTCGTGTCCACATGTGAGTGGCTTAGCGGCTTTGGTAAAAGGAGTCCACCCAGAATGGAGCCCGGCCGCCATTCGTTCGGCGCTCATGACCACCGCTTACACCGTCTACAAGAACGGCGGAGCACTACTAGATGTCGCCACGGGAAAGCCATCTACACCTTTCGATCACGGCGCTGGATACGTGGATCCCGTTTCGGCGGTGAACCCAGGTCTTGTTTACGACATAAACGCCGATGATTACCTCAATTTCATGTGTGCATTGAAATACACTCCATCACAAATCAATAGCTTAGCAAGAAGAAACTTCACATGTGATTCAAGCAAAAAATACAGCGTCACAGATTTGAATTACCCTTCCTTTGCTGTTTCATTCCCTGCTGATACCGGTTCAAACACAATCAAGTACAGCCGGACACTGACTAATGTTGGACCAGCTGGAACATACAAAGTTACTGTTTCTTCCCCTAATAGCTCAGTGAAAATTATAGTTGAGCCTGAAACAGTGAGTTTCACTCAGATTAATGAGAAGAAATCCTATACTGTGAGTTTTACTGCTCCATCAAAGTCCTCATCTACGGATGTATTCGGTAGAATTGAGTGGTCAGATGGGAAGCATGTGGTTAGTAGTCCAGTTGCAATTTCTTGGTCATGAAGACATAGCTAATAGCTTCTGTTTATTTTATGTATAAGTTCATGGTTTTCTGCTTTTTAAGTTTCATTCCAGCACAAAAGTTGGTAGCTGGTTTCAAGATTTTTTTATGGATAACATGAAAGAATCAAAGAAATGTATGCCTTGTACAATATCTTGCTCACTGTACAGTGTTGTCTTATACCAAGTATTGTAAGCAATTCTAATATATATTTTTAACATGAAGTTCAACCATCAAAGAGGGGTGGTTATTGGAGCATGTCAAGATGTGAGTTCTGCTTTGTCTATGCAATTATTATGTTAGCTAAACTTGTCCTGATCTAATGTAACGTCCACTGACCTTAGTTTTCGCTCACTCGGAAGTCGGAAAGTTAACCTTTCTTCTACTCTCCTTCTTAAGCTTGAGGTAATAGGTAAGGTAACCATATTGAATTAGATTCATTCATAGCTATCATGAATACTGGAAAAGCAATGCTACTGTAATTGTACACTAGCACATGGCATGGCACATTAATGCTTGAAAGAGAGAGGAATGATTGATAAGTCGAAATAATGGTCAGTGCTTAATAGACAATCCAAAAATTTCATTGCTGGCTATCGATAGATGATGTTTATCAACTTCGATAGGTACTGCTATCATATATAAACAATTTGAGTAAGCAATCATTAATTTCAGTACTAATTGGCCTTCCTTTTCCATAGGATGATGATGATTGACATAAGACGTCTTTATTATTGGTTTTTTTTTTATAAATCTTTATTATTGTTAATAGGGAAAAGGGTCAAAAATGCCCTCTACCTATTAGAAATGGTTCAAAAATGCCCTTCTTCCACCTATTGGTTTAAAAATGCCCTTAACGTTTTTTTTATGTTAAAAAATGCCCTTTAGTTAACATAAATATAACATGGAATTTAACTAAACAAATGGTCAATTTTCATTGGTCCACCTAATTTTTTTTATCAAATAAAAAAAACACACCCACCCACCCATCCCAACACCCAAACCCGTTTCTAGCAAGTCTTACCCAAATGTTATCTCTCTTCATTCTTTCTTCTCCTTCTCCTTTCTCCCATCTGCCATTTTAACTTAATTTAATTTGTGTTTCCTTCCTTCAAATTCAATGTTTAAAATTTTATTTTTGGGTGGATTTGAATCTACATTAACTGTTATTTTTGGGTTTCAAGCTTTCATTTTAATTTTTATTTGTTGGGTTGAAAGTTGATGTTTTTAGGCTTAAAATCCACATTTTATTTATCATGTTTGCTGCAATTTAGCTGTTAAAATGTTGTTTTGTTAAATAGTGCAATTTACTTGGTTTTTGGCCAAGTTAAGTGTTGCAATTTATTGTTGTTTTTGGAATTGATTGTTATTTTTTAAAGAAAGAAAACAGCGAAAGAAGAAAGAGCAGAGAAAGGCTTGAAACTGACGGTGAAAATGGGTTTGGGTATTGGGATGGGTGGGTTTTTTCATTTGATTAAAAAAATTAGATGGAAATGAAAATTGGTCATTTGTTTAGTTAAACTCCATGTCATATTTTTGTTAACTAAAGGGCATTTTTGAACCTAAAAAAAAGGTTAAGGATATTTTTAAATCAATAAATAAAAGGAGAGCATTTTTAAATCATTTCTAATAGGTCGAAGGCATTTCTAACCCTTTTCCCTTGTTAATATGGTTAGAATTGTACTAAGCTATTTGCAAATTAATGTATATTCTGTATAAAGTAAGTCATAACTCCATGTATGCTGTCTTCATCCCAAAATAATTTGTCAATTTACTTCATTTCATATCCATTATTATCTTTCTTTTACTCCTTATGTTCCTATTTATGTTACTATTTTAGATTTTACGTCCCTCAAGAAACTAAGTAAATTTACCATTATACACTTATTTAGTGTTTTGTTCAAGTCCAATTTTCATAAATAGTTTATTTTGTTAATTAAATTGACCAAGAAACATGAGTTTATCATTTAGTTTCCCTATGTTGGTCAAATTCATACTTTCAAAGCTATGTAACTCTCCAAAAGTAAAATAGAAATAATAGTATTATTTATATATTGATTTTGTGAAATGACAAGTATTAAGAAACATTTATTATTAGCAAGGACAACATATAAAAAAGAACTATGGGAGTATTCCTAAAGTGACATACTTTGGGAAAAATATTTATTGTTAAAGTAACACTTATTTTGGGATGGAAGGAATATCTGTTGCTTTAAAAATACAAAAAAATATATTTTAAAACGCAGAAATTTGTACCAGAAACAAACGCAGTTTTCATGACACAGTTGTATGAAGAGACTATTTGTTATTCCTATTATAGACCAGACTAAAAAACAAATCGGCGGGAAGAGAAACTACCAACACTTCCACTGGACTGTTAGTATACACTCAAATCAAACTTCATTAGACTTCAATGCAAGACAAAAACAAAATTAGTGGGGTCGATCAATTGGTGGAGGCTGAGTCGCCAACAATTTGGAGTGACTTGGGTGAGATTTGGAGCCAATCAAGGGGAATGGACAAACCATTCCACTTCCTCAAAATTCTAATCTATCAGCCAAGAACTTGTCAATTTCAATAAATTTATCACTTAATTGCTAACACCCACACACCCAAAAAAACAAAAAAAAAAAAGAATTTAGAGCTCCGTCAGCCTCATCCATTTTCAATGAAACTGAAATTTGGCACATACATTCCAAGACAAGCACCCCACTAAATTTATTTTACACTAAAAGGTTCCCCTAGGTGAGATCATTCTTTACGTAATCTTTCTTCAAATTATAATATCTGCAATCCAACCAAATAATTGAAGGACATATCACCATGATCTAGAGATCATGTCTGCCTATTTGTAGAAAACATGATAAGAAAGAAGAGAAATTCCTCTTACTCTTTGGTGATTTCTGAATATGAAACAAGACTTCCCGCGGACCATCAGAATTCTGAAGAGCTGTTAAATCATGCAAACTAAGCCACCATGTACTCTGTTGCTCCCCTGGTATTAAACTTCTCCACAAAATTTACTAGAAGCATCATTTAGCATTGCCAGGGCAACAATCTGCAAAGTGTCTCGAGAGTAAAATTGAACTCCACAGTGAGATCTCCACTGAACCTTGTTGGTTAAGCAATGTGAGAATAACTGAACGTTGAAACTGGTTACAGCTCTTTATTGATTTTCCATATTTGCAGAGCATGTTACTTAATTTGCACCCATCATCACGTTCCAAGGCTACAGTTTCTTTATCTTTAAACTAACTTGGCCGGCTATAAACAGGATACGCCCACATGGATAACAAAAGTTAAAAACAAATGGAAGGGGTCATAATTTGTGCCAGTTCTGGTGTGGTTGCTTTCCAAGCCGCTTTAACATACACATGCATCCAGCTGCAGAAAAAAGACCAAGAGCCGCCATAGCTATAATTGTTGAATTTTCAATATTCTGGTAGAAACCTCTCTGCAAAATTCAAAATAGCAGACTATCCAAAATATTCAATAAATCAGCAGAAAAAAAAAAAGAATATCATGATGAAGTTTGACATGTGGTACCATACAATCAAGAAAAACGTTATCTAGAAGCTCAACATAGAATAAAAGAAACTATGTTGCATTTATCTTAACTGAGAAGATGTGGATACTAACCAGAACTATAAATTTCCAAGCAAGAACATCTAGGTAAAGTTCAAGCACTATATACTTAAATGGATTCTACTGGGAATAAAATCCACTATAATAAGTGAAGAAGATCTCTTCTGATGAAATAATGGATTAAATAATGCATATGATAAAACAGAACATGCCTGAATCAGAAGGAACAACATAAGTGCATTTGAAGGAGCGATCGATAAACTCATCATTCCTCCACGAAGATCATTAGGCACATACCTGCATATTAGAGGAAGAAAGGAACTTGAATGAAAGAAAACTTCCAGCCAAATATATGAGAGAGCAGGCTATGCTCGAGTAGTTGAGTTACACAATTATTAAAGCCGTGACTGATAAAAAAATTATAAGTGCAGCATAGTTTACATGGTTCTCAATCTGGCGAGTGAAGGCAAAACCAATCCCACACAAGCATGAAATATGCAGAATAGCATCAAAAGAATTTCAACGTCCTGCAACAATATCACAAATTAAGGTTGATGACATTACTTGATATTTGAACAGCTTGAAGAAAAGAAAACTCGTAAAATACCTGATAATCAAAAGCTACAACGGAAGTGACAAAGCCCATAATAATACAAGCATATACTAAGCACTCCTCCGTTCGGAGTGATAAAGGGCCACTGGAGAACCAGGAAAATGCAGTGCTTCCAAGCATTTTCGCACCAAGTACACATGGGTATACCAAACCTAGCAAAACCTCTCTCCCATCTGCCTAAAAATCCAAACAAACTTTAAGGAGAAAATATATCAATCTTTTTGGACCAGGAACAAATATGGTGAGATGGGATTTCAGAAGGGAAAGAAAATGTAATGTTAAACAATCAACCTGGTAAATCAGTATTCACAAAATTTGAGAGACATAGATATTGGCCACAAAAAGATTACTTCATAGATTTCAATAATAGAAAGATGGTTTAATGCACTTGTATAGTCAACATTCTGATGTATCTTACACAAACAGTCAACAGCCACTCTCTCCCTCTCTCTCGGTATAAGAATGGATCTCATCAATCTTTCCAAAGAAGGCCTCTCACAGTAGTAACTAAAATGCTTCCTCTATACATTTTTCCTTGACATACTTCCATTTCCAATTTTGAGACTCAAAGTACAAAAGAATAATTAACTTTCAATATTTTAAATCTAATTCAGGAGGTGTGTTTTCGTATAGATAACTTCAACTACTCTCTTCAAAATTAAGGTAAGTAGATTAACAAATTTAGCGCTCCTATTAGAATACATTTCCATGAGAAAACAATAATAGGAATTGGAGAGTCAGAAACGCTGAAACAGTATCCTTTACAGGAAGCTTGTCAAAATCATACCACAATGGTTGGAGCCCAAGTAATCCAAAAAACTGCAATTGAGAAGTGGATGGTAGCTTGGGTCCATGACAAAAGCCAAACCCTTTTATCTGCCAAGAATACAATTGGAAAAAGATTAGAAAGTCTATCCAACCACTCCCAAATGTCATCAAAATTAGCATTTCTTACAGATGCATGTTCTCCATCTCATACCATATTAAGATGTTGCAGAACTTCTAATTTCTGAAATTGGACCATTTTAATTATCTTAAGCATTACATTGCAAATATCATATAAGCCCAAAATTAGGTACAACCTCATTTTCTATTAGAAAATTACTATACTCGTACCGTCTGATATACCATTCTGGTAGTATTTACTAACTAAAAAGGGATAACTTTCTCACTGTTTTATAGCTCTGTTATGCTTTCATGCTCTTCTAAAGTATGGACTTCTGTTTTTGAGCTAAGTTGATCAAGTACCAACCAAAATAAGATCACAATAAGAAAAATAAGGTAGCTGCACATAGTTTGAACTTTGGTCAAGGGAATAAGGGAGAAATTGGAGACAGAGTGAAAAATAAGGTTGACAATGCCTATAAGATTGTGGTCAACATTTTGAATTCCTTCTTCCTAACTTCCCTCTCTTTCTATCGCCACCCCTTTCTTCTTTTTAACTCAAATGTGGTACATTGCCTCCTTTTACTGGAAAGGAAAGTGCCAAAAAGTAAGGAAATAAGTTGAGCCAGATTTCTCGTGACTATCCAAGAATTCCAATATTCGAATTGTGGATTTTAGCGGTAAAGCTTATCTGATTTTATTTATTTTTAGAATCTTTTTATCAGGAGATCCACAGAATTGATTAAATATTTCTTTTAGTGTAACATTCGCCTATGGAAATGTGTCCCTCAGTTAAGTTGTGACAACAGAAAGGTATATCTTCAGGAAAAGGAACATAAGAATAAAAATGGAGGACTCATACCACTGAGTATGTATGTACGGAATTTAGTCTGATAATCTTTAAGAAGAATTGATTTTGGATCTTCCTTCCATCCTCGGCTGACATAAGCCAGAGCACTAAGAGCCATTATTACCACTGCACTGGACGGAGCAAGCAAACTTGTCTTTTCATGACCACCAATTAACCAGTTACCAACCACTTGGCTTCCAATAAAGATGCAGATTCAACAAAAGTCATTAACCAAAACATGTCATTCACTGAATCCTGCCTCTGCTCAAGCTGCAAAATGATTATAAGGATAACTCGTCTTACTCTACTATCAAAGATTCAAAATCATGCAGAAATCTGTAATCCGACTGTGAAGACTCCCCAAGCGACAAAAATGTTCAAATATAATCACAGATGCTGCTACGGCATGAATAGGCCCAAAATAGGTTAATGTAGTTGGCAAAGAAAGAAACTCTAAAAGACTATAGATCCACACTCCCCCACCCTAACCCCTTAGCATTTACTACATTTATTCATCTTTTTTTTTTTTGGTACAATAAAGATTTCCTAGATTTATTCATTTTAAGAAATGGATAAGAATTTTGAGTTAACAAGTCTTCATAATTGTACTTCCCCATGAAATAGCAAATCATATAATAATAACAAACAGAGATTCTGAAGGCAAACCTTATCATGCTCAACAACCATCCATGTCTCGAAGTTGAAGAAAAATATCGTAGAGGCAAGAGAGAGACAGATGCTAGCGAGCCAAATACTTGGATGTCCAGTCACCCTCCACCATATGGCAACAAAAAGATGCAGCAAGCAAAATAACAAGCTGACTTTTCTCTGGCCACTGCATGAAGAGAGACAACATAATGATAAGTCTGACAGATGGTATTCTTGACTTATCAAAAAAATGATTTATCTTATGGTGCTCCATCACAATTTTGAGAACGATAAACGATTGAAAATAATAATGATAATCATCATGGCCCAATACCATTTAGTACTTTGAAACATATTCTGGTCAAACACATAGCTTCAAGTTCAACCTTTGTTGGACAGTTCAGAGGAAAAATGATCTCATAGTCCAAAAAGAATGCATCAAAGGAACGTAGATCAGATTGATACTTCATCTCTCCCAAAATGGAAGTTCTATTTCATTTCGAAGTTGAACCAAATAATCTTAGTCTAAAAATTTGAATTTATGATTTATGGAACTCCAAAAGAATGAAAATGGCAACTTGCAGTATACCATAATGGTTATGCAAATAGAGACTGAACATGGTAAACATAGAAAACTAGGCAGAGTACCCTTACATCAAATCCGAGAGCATGCCCAAAAAGGTACCGACAAAGAGAGCAGTTGTGTATCCAATACATAGAGAGATGACCATCTGCTCCCTACTAATGCCATGGAACGCCAAGTCGTACTCTCCAAATACTGCCAACAAGCCTTCCATTACTGTAAAAAGTTAAAATAAATAAATAAATGATTTTGAATCAAAGCAATCATAAAAAGGACACACTTATATATTGAGGACGTAATAAAAAAGGGAAGCATGCCTTTTTTTGATGCAATATGTGATTTGCGCGTACACCTTAACACATGCTCTATGATCAGTAATTACCATATCTCTATCAAGTTAAATTAATAATTGACAACTCTGTGGTGTCAGCTCAGCCTTAGCATAATATGCTAATAAACAGATTACAAAGGGAGGAACTTGTATCAGTATCTCAATTCACACTCCACGTTCGATGTAAAGTTCCCCTATTAACACGTAACTCCATCTGTTAGAATAGCTTCATTGAGTCTTGAATAAACTTTTGAATTTGATTGATATAAATTTGTATAGATGTTTATTACTCTACTATAACTACAGGATACTCCACTTTTGAGAACTCCGTTCATCTGAGTGATCCACAAATGAAAGAATATCTAACTAGATAAAATGCTCAATGTAGCAATGTACAAATTAAGCGATAGTCCATCTATCCAATTAGTTTGAGACTTCAACTTGACCATTTCCAGAGCTAAGTCAGACTAGTTTAATTCATTTCATTTCCAAGTTAAAATTTACACATCCAGAACCTACTAGAAGTTTCATTTTTTCTCCTTGGACAAAAAAGAGGGTAAATATCAAACATTAGTAATAGAGGAAATGTGACAGTCAACAAACAGGGAAACATGTAAAGTTTACTGCTTAGCACCAATTTTAGCAGCAAGTAGATTCTATGAGTTAATTAGCACACTGACATTTCCTGATAATACATTCAATGGTCAGACAAAACAACTCGGAAAACAACGTCACCTGAAGAAAGCGAATAGAGTAAAAGGAAACTTCTCTGGAAACGAATGAAGGAAGACGAAGGTGCGTGATCGAAAATGGCGGAACTTCTGGTGCTGTTTGGCAAATAGTAGATTGACAAGCAACATGATATGAAGAAGAATAAACACAGTGCTGGATTTGGCTCCCAAACATTGCTCTCGACGATCACCCCCATTCTTAAGAAAATGTACAAGACGTATTTCACCGGATCTCAAAAGTACTAGATCATCCCGGCGAATAGTGGAACGTGTCTCAGTACCCTGTCAATAGAGCCTTGCAAATTGCAATGAACTGTTTCCGAGGCGGGTTAATTTTCAGTGAACTGAAAGCCCATTTAGTTAGTCAGAACCCTAATTGGACCGATATGTAACATTCCATGTAAAGCCCACTGACGTTCCTAGCAAATAACCAAGTTGGAAAATAATACTTTTTAATGAATAATTATTGGTTTTAGCTATGTATTTTTTATTATAATTATTACTTATAGTAATACTATGATAAATTTGTATTCATGCAAAATAAATGTATTATAAGTGTTTTTATATAATACGTATGTTTGTTTAGTAAGAAATTGACACGGTACTATAAGTGTATTAAAGTGTGCGATAAATATATTATTCATCAATAAAACTTGTTTTATAAATTTGTTATCTATAATATGTATTATAAGTGTTTAGTGAAAGTAAATATTTTCTTTACGTAAGTTCCTCCAAAGAAATTTTCGGATTATTCTTATTGAAATTGGTCTTTAATTTTTGTTTTATTGTACATCTAATAAATATTATGAATTATTTTTAATAAGATAATACAAACGAACGCAATCTAAAAAGGAGATTTTGATCAATTTTAGCATAGGTAAATCAAATTAATGTTAAATATTTAAGATTAAAGTTCATTGAAGCAAACTTATATAAAAAATAAAGAGTATTAAAGAAAGGGGTGTTCGAAGACCAAACCTGTCCTTTCAACATATTTTTGACCCCTCTATCCCCTGCAGCTGCCGTAATCCCCGCCACTGTTTTTCGCCTGTAACAGAAGAGCTCTCTAGGGTTTCAATTCGTAATGGGTGGAGGCAACAGTCAGAAAGCCAAGATGGCTCGTGAGAAGAATATCGAGAAGATGAAAGGCGCAAAAGGTATTTTCTTTCTATCCATGGAATGATCTGAACCCAATCATCCACATCGTGCTCTTAATTCAATTGGTCAATTAGCCTTGGTTTAAGCCTATTCGATCTCGTTGTTGGAATTTGACGTGGCTGAGAGTGCCTTAATTGCTCTTTTTGTTTGTTTAGATGCTGAGATATTTACGTTAATCGTCAATCTTTTGGCTTTTTACAACTCTCTAAATATCTTTATGCAGGAAGCCAACTTGACGCGAACAAGAAGGCCATGAATATCCAGGTAAAGCATTTTTCTTTATGCAATTTTAGTATGTAATGGGTAATTACTGAATCCCAATATGTGACCTTGTTAAGCATATATTGGATGGTCCCAAACCCAAATAAAGGATTGTGGTAGGATGAAAGCCAACGTGATAATAGTATAACTAGGACGAATAAACCCCAATAGAGCAGGAAGGATAGGATTTTTCATATAAAACATACCAATTAATTTGGGATTGAGGCATAGTTTATTCCTGAATAGAGGTGATGAAGGTTAATTGGAAAGATAGGCTTATGTTGCTTCTTTGGATGTCAGAGTGATTTCTTTTGTCCCTTTGGTGATAAAATTGGTTAATGTCTATATTTTGTCTTAATGACCAACACACTCCTCTGCCTTTTCAAGTAAGGAGACATGAAATATAGAAAGCACATATCCTCAAAATCGGAAATATCTACATCATGTAGGCCATTGGAAGGATATAGATCTGTTAATGACTTCATCAGGATAGTCCAGTAGTATCGTAAGAAGAGGGGCATCATATGTTGAAGGCGAGAACCGATCAATCACTTAGATACCCTTATCACCTATAATCTTTTGTTATTGTGTTTGGGCTAGTAACGTCATGGTGTTGAACTTCAATTCTCTTTGTATGAGTTCAAAGTACTGTTCTTCGTATTTCATAATGACAGCCCAATAACGGCAACTCTCAATCATGAGTTCCACTGTGTAATCTCCTTTATATGTTCTGTAATTTGGCTCATATAGCATGTGAAATGTTTAGTCCACTCTTCTTATTAGATACTGGCTATGTGGTTCAATACTCGTATTTTTCTCCTTGGTACTTTGAAAATCTGAATTTAGGGAATTCGCTTGTTGTGTATTTGCACATGAAGCTATAGTGGCCTCACACTTGTTGATGTCTTATTGGATTGTCTTTTGTCTTTCTTTTTCCAGCCTTTTAGGCTATTTTCTGTGATACTGTATAATCTCTACACTACTGCCAAAAAAAGTTCTTAGGCTTTCAATAGGAGATGGCCTAAGTAAAGAATGGCATTCAAGTCTTAACAATAATCTTTAATAGTCTATGGCTCTGCTTATCAGTTTCTGCACAGATTTTCTCACCGTGTTAACTATTTTTATGTCTTCTTTCAGCCTCGGACAATTCATTAGTGTCTTTAGAATTCATCTTGATTGCTGTTTGCTTTGATCCTTCTCTAACTTGTCTGTATTGTTGCGGATGATGGCAGTGCAAGGTATGCATGCAGACATTTATGTGCACAACGTCAGAGGTGAAGTGCAAGGAACATGCCGAGGCCAAACATCCAAAATCTGATCTCGCTACCTGTTTCCCTCATCTCAAACAATAAACTTAGGTGTCAAACGTGTCTTGTAGAAAATGTTAGTATTATCTCCTATCACTAATCACAAAGTGTCAACCCAAGCAAGATGTAAAATTGTGTATTTGTCCCCCGCATAAACAGGTCGGGCCAAATTTTTAGTTGTGCACTCTACTCTTTAATGGTTGATATCATATGTGGTATAATTTGGGATTTGTCAATGAATTTGGCGTTGTGTTTTTGTTCAATGTGGGTGTGAGATGCGCTCTACAGGGTTACCTTCTTTCATTTATTTTTTGTTAGATGCATCTAAAGAAATTGATAATGGATAGCTGTAATTTAATTTCGCAAGTAGAGAGAAAATCTAAGCACTGTGGCCCCTCCACTGGATGGCCACGAGGTTTGAGGTTCTCCTCAGCAAGGGCTTCTTTTCATTGTTCTATTACCCTAACACCATATCAATGAACTTACACAAAGGGCAAACCACCAAAGTTGAATGCAGAAAAATCCAGTACACTGACGTACAAAGTGAACTCCTGAACTAATTTTCGAGAATCTGCTTCTGTTCACATCTAGGGAGGTACCTTGGGGGAAGAGGGTGGGTGGGGGGAGTGACTTTTGATGCCCAACAAGTCACTTCCATTTGCAATCAAGGTCCCGAGCAGGAAATCTACAGAACACTATTTCTCTTGAAATGTTCAATGATGAAGATCTGTAATTCCTGAATTCAGATGTCTGCTCAAATTCAAATCCACATAGTTCTCATGAATGTCACTTAAATGGATACACAAGGTACGTTACACCATAGTTTTTTTTCCTTCCCATTAACAGCAAGACAAGAAAGCTACTGTGTCCTCATCCTGCTAGTTTCAGCAGCCCTCACTTGCCCGAAATATGGATGGGCCTAAGAAACAGGGCAGAGAAAGCAGTTAGTAGGTTTCCCAACAGAGTGTTCAATACTATAGTTGTGCAAAACAAAACAAATACATGTATAATGTTCATTGTTAAAAGAAATGATTGAGAGGGGGGAGTGGATTGATTCCAGCAAAGATGCAGATGCAACATCATGACAAAGGAAAAAACATAGCCAAGAGCAGAAACAGAAAGCAATAGGCACTTCACAATCACCAGCTTGTTTCTAACAGCATTTTAAAACAAAAAACTAGTCAAGTTGTGAATCTTCTACCCACTCTTCCTCACTGATCTCATTCATTTATCTCATTTATAAACCTTACATTTTGGTTTTGGTAAAGTATGTTTTAAAATGTCACGAAACCATTTTCTTTAATAAGCAATGGTAAACCAACATAAGACAGAAGCTGAGAAAACAAAGATGAGGCACAGAGTTTAAAGCTCATTAATAGTGGATAAAAAGGATTACCATTGCTTCTTTTGCCGTAAGTCTAGTCTGATGATCATAACGAAGAAGCTTGTCAAGATAATCTATAGCCTGCAATGAGAACTCAAAATCAATGATCAAATGGGCAGTGAGGAACAGCCACTTGGGATTTTGAGGTGTACTTGTCACCATTGTTGGTTTCGTCTTATTCAGAAATACCATAAATACATAAATAGAGAGAGAACAATACCTCTGGTGACACTAGATGCTGATTGTCTGCATTAATAAATTTGGACCACGGCTTCCTACTGTGTCTGCAGGGGAAAGACAGATTGTATTCACCTTCAATAGCTAAGAATTTTGGCAATAAATGAGGACACACTTCTGCTAAACCTAGTTACTGAGATCAACTTAGTGACCCTATTTAGTCACAGCTCTAAGTTATTTTGTAATTGCCTTAGCCTAGTTTTATATTGGGCATAAGGGTAGAAACAAGAAAGCAAGAAGCATACCTCCCAACCATAGCCTCTAGCTGAGGATCAAGCTCTAGTTGATACTTGTGCAAATATGCATTCAACTCATCTGTCCCAAGTACCTATAACAACAATAATCTATCAAATCCATGTCAAGCAGCTATACGTAACTTTTATATAAATTGAGTGTTCACTTGCAACTAAAGTAACAACTGCATTGGTTGTTTTCAGTTGATTAACCTCCCCTCCCCCCCCCCGTCCCCCCCATTCAAAGAACAAAATTAAGGTATATAAACCCATTGGTTAGTTACTAGGCATTACCTTTGCAATTTTGACGAGCTGATCCTGATTATCATGGCCATAAAAGAAAGGTTCCTTGCGGAAAATCTACCAAAGAAAAGGTATGGTCAGGCACAAAGAAAACAGGAGGAAAAAGAAAATTGATTCCAAACAAACAAATACAAACTTCTAACAAGTTCTTTCAGATGTTTATAGTTTCCCAGGCCCACAACTGATACTTTAAAACTATAAACCAACTGACAGCTTATATTATGAATCATAAAATTTCTCACCATTCCTGCAAACATGCAGCCAAGGCTCCACATGTCCAAAGAATAGTCGTAGTCTTGCAAGTCAACTAGAAGTTCAGGGCCCTTGAAATATCTGAAGTGCAAGAAAAGAAGACCTCAGACTTGCTTCAATAGCCTTGATAGTTTATGAACCACTAACTTACAGTGCGAAACCAATTTCCCATATGCAGCTATGCTGATAAAGAGTTAGTTTGACCTAAACAATTCCTAACCTTCTCCTATAATCCCATTGATTGTTTAAGTATTCTTTAATTGGGTATGGTGAAATTGAGATGAAATTAGATGAGATTGCAATGCCTAAATGCAAACATTCAGAATTTTAGGCTCACTGTTCCAGGAAAAGGAGTAATAGAGGAAGATGTTACACGTAAAAATCAAAATTGAACAGTTGAAATGGGGAAGTGCTATTTGAATGTAGTAATAGACAAAGATGTTACAAATAAAATCAAAATCTAACAGTTGTAATTGGGAAGTGCTATAGTAAATGTTATGCGATAGCAGGATGCCTACCAAAAGTGAAAGGTAAGCTCTATAGAACAGCTATAAGACCAACAATGTTATATGAGAGTGAATGTTGAGCCATTAAAAGTTTACACATCCACAAGATAAATGTTGCAGCTAAGATAGATGAGTGATCATACAAAATTAGAGAACTGATACTCCTAGGTGTGAAACCATGGTGAGTGAAGGTGTTAAAAAAGGAAGAGGTAGACCTAAAATCACATGGAAGGAAGTTGTCTCTACAGACCTATAATTCTAGGGATCCATGCAAACTTACAGAGAGGCACAATGGAAGAAAAAAATCTATATAGGCACTACATATTAGTCGAGAATATACTAAAATGTTAGGAATCTTACTGTAGGTCCTATACTTTCTAGGAGTGGTTTAGCTTTTCAGAAGTTTGTCCCTTGAGAAAACATAGAGATTCTATAAAAACTTTATCTGTGTTTGCACAGTATGTGCAAGATATGGGTTTAAATGGAGTAACATGGACAACAAAAATCATATAACCGACCCCTACTTGTTTGGAACTGAAGGGTAGTTGTTGTATACGTAAGTGAATGATGTTCCTTTTATTACTTCTAACTTACAAAATCTATAGCAAAGTCACTTGCTTTCTGATTAAAAACTCATGACTTGTCCAGAGAACAATTTGCAAGTAGAGCATGGATCTACAGATAGAGAAGCTATACGTAGGAAGTTGTTGCTGGCAAAGAAACTATGCCAGGTCCAGCCATACTGTCGGCAGATTATCTCACCTTGAAGCCACACGAACATTATATTCCTTCCCTGGGTGGTAAAATTCAGCAAGACCCCAATCTATCAAGCGAAGCTTCCGCAGTTCATGATCTATCATAACGTTATGAGGCTTGACATCCCTATGCATTATTCCCTGTGAATGGCAATAATCTAGTGCCTGCAGGTTCATAAGAAGTATCAGTTTCCGACCTCCATAAATTGGTAAGCATGTCAAGAAATGTATACAAAGAATAGGTCCCAAAGAGTATTAAACAACTGTCACAAGAAATGCTATGATCAACTGAAGGCCTCAGCAAATTCAATAGTCATGCCAAAAACATGAGTCTTTCTTTTCTTTCAAAAAGAAGGGGAAATTAATAGAGTAAATTAAGCGACTGGAAAAGTAAATATGCAGGAACAGAACTAACTTTTCAGCATAAAGCATTTGACAAACAAGAAACGATGAGCTGAAACACAATGAGAAAGCTTGAAACGATGAGCTGATGCACAATGAGAAAGCTTGAAACGATGAGCTGATACACAATGAGAAAGCTTGGGAAGTTAAATTTATTTTCTTTTTTTCACAGAAGAAGGCAAAAGAAAGGAAACCTAGACATGTTTCTGCTCAGGTAGGCTGGTGATTTAGGCATGTAGCAAAAAGGAAGACCTAACTTCGAGATAGAAATCAACAGGATCCCATAATTAGCATCCCCATTTCCAAATAGTTCCTCTCACGTAAATCAGACAAAACAGGGAATATAATATTACTCATGAAAAAGGAAATTAAAATTTAAATAGCAATTAGCAAACAGAGGACAGAATATCCATGGCATTGGTGATTTTTTTTCCTTAACCAATTACACGATCAGAAGAATACAAGGAAGTTACTTAAGAAATCCAAATTCAGTAAAGAAAATCACATTGTTAAGAGTAACAAAGAGCACAGCCATTCATCTAGATATAAAAATCAACTTCCAATAGGCATGCAGTGAATCTAAATCATATCGTCTGATAACAAGAGACGAAGTAAACACTCAACTACGAGGTCATTTACCTTTAAAAACACATTCAGAAGCTATACTTAGACCTAATTGCAGAGGAAAGGTAATCAATTGGAATGACCAAGACAGTGAATGAGCTGACAATATCAATAAGAAAAATCTACATTTTTGTTGATGGATTTGAAATCCATGTATTGGCATGCAGGATAAGGTGAACAAATATGAGTTTTCAGTCTTAGTCATTCCCACTAACCCAAGATCATGAGACACTTTCGACAGACTCCCAATTATCTAACTATAGATGTAAGCTGAATCCAAATTAGTGCAATTTTATGGCACCAGAATCTTGGATTCCAAAATTTCCACTTGAGATGAGCCTAGGAGTTTAGGAGTTATAACTTTAATAGTTTGATCTCAAAATTTGATCGAAGTATATGAGAACATAACTCACCCAGAAATAGTGGGTGAGCATAAGAAAACTGGGGACTCCCAAAATCCTCATACTCATACAAACCTTGAAAAGCTGCAATAGAAGGAAGTTTGGAGGCAGACAAACTTTTGACCAGATAATAAGTTAAGACATGAGTTATAAGTACAACTCTATTCTTGGTTCTGAGAGAAGAAAGAAGATACAGAAAAGAAGGACCAAGAGGACAGGAAGTATATAATTGTTACCTTCCTCAAAAAAAAAAAAAAAGGAAGGTCAGGGGAGAGGGAGCATATGTACATAAAAGCCATAGTGACTGCCATCTAATGGGTTTATCATCTTACCTTGAGAAGCTCATATATGTAGTACCGTATGTCGTAATCTGTTAGCGTTGGGTACAAAACCTTGAAATCTGTGCTGTTCACGTACTCAAAAATCAAGCTTGGAGTTTTTGAATGCTGATCTCTGACGATATCAAGGAGTTTGACAATGTTTGGTCCACCACAGAGGTTTTGCAATATCTTTATCTCTCTTTTGATCTACACAACACCACTAATGTCAAGTCAAAAGCATGCATATTCTTTTTTGTTTTTTTTCCAATAGAAAGCACAATATTACAAACTAAAACTGTGTTATATAAAAAATTAAGTTAAAGAAAGGATAGGAGGAAAAAAGGTATATGAACAGTGGATACATAACACTACCAAAATGATCAAAAAATGTCATCAAGAGATGAACCTAGTACCATGTTGTTGAGGATGGCTAATTTTTTCCAGATTATGTCACAAACTGACCAATTTTAGGCATTATGCATTTCGTAGAACCGAGAACGTAACTGACAATTTTTTCCAAAGTTCCAAAAGGGAGACTTCACTAATTTCTTTGACACCCTATCAACACATGAATAGACAAGTGCGAGTAGGCATTTTAATCTATGTTGCTCGGACTCTTCAAAAGTGCCAACGGGTGCGTGTTGGATTCGCCAAAAGTAGTGTATTTTTGGAGAATCCGAGACGGGTGCGGCATCAAAAGTGAAGAGTCTGCGCAACTAAGATTTTAATGAGTTAAATACAGATTTTTCCATCAAAGCTGTCAATGTTGATGATTCTCCATAGAATTAAGACCCTTTATATGAGTTAAATACAGATTCTTCCATTAAGGCTGTTAATGTTAATGATTATCTATAGATATTAAGTCAGACAAAAATAAGTATTGAATTACGTAAGAAGTCTTCCTGCAAACTTCTTCATTTTTTTTCCTTTGAAGCAGAAAAATGAAATCTTAATTCAGCCAAAAAGAAAGAAGAAACATAGTATCTTCCTAGCAGTATGAGTTCCGTAAGTTCAACAATGCAAGGAACGTCATACCTTTTTCTTCTTAACAGGTTTCAGGATCTTGATTATGCACTTCTCGTTGCTGTTAACATTTATACCTTCAAAAACTTCACTGTATTTTCCTCTTCCAACTTTTCGAACAACCTCATAGTCATCCTGATCACTGCAATAATGAATATGACGGACACTAGTGAGGATAATACAATGTAGCTGGTGCATTAAAGTTGAGTAAGTCAAATAGGATCAAATCTGAAACCAATACTTATGAAAGATGAAACTAATTGTTGAGCCAAGGGTCAAGGCACTCTAGAAACAAGATTAACAAACTATAATCTCCCACTTTAGCAAGACAAGTTTACAATTCCCGTTAAGCAAAATGCTCTCGTTTTGACAAATGCAGCAGAACGATACAATAACAAAAACAAACTACTAATTGGTGTAAACTAAATGAAGCCTCTATAATTATCCGCTTCACTTCGGGCCATGTCATTCCAATACTCATTAATTCAACTTTCAACACTAAAGTAAGGGTTCTAAATATAACTCTTGTTCCTAGACTTACACAAGCATTGCTTAGTGTGTACCAACACGTCTAATCCTTAAACTCAACAAATTGGTAAAATAATATTTGATATTTGTCATCCATTGAATCATGTGGAAGCAAATAGAGAAGTAACAAACATATAAAGACTCGAAGCCCAACCTAATCTGAAGCCACAAAATATAGGAAACTTGCCTCAGCTCAACAAGACTAGACAGGAGTTATGAATTAACCCAATAGATATTTTCCATTGTGAAAGAGGAAAGTTTTCATTGAGTCATTCCGTTCAAGATAGCAGGAATTTGCCAAAATAGCATCTAACACTGATCACCCAATTATCTATTACACAAAAAAATAGTAATAAGAAACCCAACATTTGTTTTTGGGTTTCACCCACTCCTGGAGTGGAGTGGATGTCACAATGCTATGTAACCACCACTTTTCTTTCAGACGAAAAAAAACAAGGAAACATAACCAAGAATTATGTACTGGGATGCTGTAAGTGGATGTTACAATGCTATGTAACGCCCACTTTTCTTTCAGACGAAAAAAACAAGGAAACATAACCAAGAATTATGTTCTTGGATGCTGTAAGTCGATGTTACAATGCTATGTAACACTCACTTTTTCTTTCAGACGAAAAAAACAAGGAAACATAACCAAGAACTATTTTCTTGGATGCTGGAAGTGGATGTTATTATTTACTTAACAATCTTTTTAAAAAAAAGGTAGCAAAGAGCATCTAATTCAAGTATTTCAATCTATCATCCAGTATACAAACCCCAAAATATATAACAAAATCAAAAGCGATTAGGGTTAAATAAGGAAAAAAAATTACCCCCATTGAACAGTTAGCGATTCGTAATCCCAATATTCCCTAGGACGAAGCACATTGATATCGGTGTATACTCGAGCTTTAGACATGGTTTTATCGGAAATCAGAGACTGAAGAGTTGTTGATTAAGGTATCGGATTTCGGAAAAGGGGAAACAAAGAAGACGCAGGCTGGGTAGATGCGGAGGAGTAATTGGGCCCAGCTTCTGTTTGACGCAACCGCCAGAGCAGTAACACTACTTTACTTACAGAACGCGCACAACATTTTTAGGAAAAAGCCATAGATTGGGAAAGCTTTTTGCTCTCTCTTGTGTATGCTATTGGGACCCTTTCACTCTCTACAGGGAAATATCTTATATGGTCGGTGCCAAGTGGCTAATTTGCTTTTGTTAATATTGAAGTGTTTTTATATTATTTTCGCTAAAGGGTCAGAAACTTTTCTGATTTATCAATTAGGTCCGTCTATTTTTTAACTAACCAAAAAAAATAGAATAGGGGAAGGGTTGATATTACGGGTGTGCCTGGTATGGTATATATCATCATATCATATCATATCATATCAAAAAATTTAATATTATAATTTTGAAATTATGGTATTTGGTGGTATACATTTTAATTTTTTTTATATTCAGTACGGTATTTGATATTTAATACCGAAATATGAAATATCATATCGAAGTATATAGTTACATAAATAACATATATATTATTAAAATACTACTTAACAAATATGCAACCCAGTATTAGTATAAAGTGAATGTTTAAAAGTTAAAGTTCTGACTACTTTATTTTGATTGAAATGTATTTGAATTGTAAATAATTAACAAAATGAGTTGTTTGTACATATGATACAATTGAAGTATATTTTTAATTGTCGAAGTTATAGTACTCTATTATACTAGTATATATTAGTCGAAGTTGAATAAATTATGGTTACCGATTTACCATATTGTAAAATACTGAAATTGAACTTCAATATACCGAACCATATCGGATTAAATTGATATGGTAATGGTATAATGTTTTAAAAATCAAATACCGAAATTACGATATTGAAACTTTCAAATACCGTACCGTACCATACCATGCCCACCCCTAGTTAAGATTGAATATTTTGCTAATGGGTCGTAGCTTAGTCTATTCGAAAAATCATTTTTTTATCCGGGGTGGACCCATATAGAGCCTTTTGGGTGTTCGAGCACCTATTAACCTCGTACCGAAATATATATATATATATCTTTGTAGAAATTAAGAGCTATATGTATAAAATTAACATAGAGCACCCAATGAACAAATGATCTGACTAGTCTAATGGCTTTTGGTGGATCCTTGAGGCCTTTTTAGTGTTGTTGAGTTTGAATTTGAATCTTACTTTTAACATGTTTTTTTTAGAGCTCCCATGACCTTACAATCCTATATCCATCACTACTTCGTATCGAGGAAAGATGAGAGGATTAATTAGAAATATATCGACCCTTTACGGAATAGTTAATTAATTAAGTTATTATTATTAGCGCCGAATTTTGATATTGCGATTGTTTTAAGATTTATTCCCTTGTCCCTAACATATTGAAAATAGTTTTAATTTTTCTTCTTTACATTAAATTTAAATTGTCTTAACATTGATTATTGGGTTAAAACTATCCTTTCTTTCACCTATTTAGTCCTAATTGTCTTTTACAATTGAAAACGTTCATCCTCTTAAAAGGAATTAGTGGGGCTAAAGGTACTCAGAGATCAATTTAGATCAACTTTTTGTCACTAAAATCAAATCAATTTAATTCATTTTAAAATTATTAAAATCAAACCAATTAACGCATTTTTTTGATTTGATCAATCTTGGTTTAGTTCGTTTTTTATTTATTTTTAGAAACCTAATGTATCTCCTTCCCCACCCCCACCCCTACATTTAGAAAATATTTTTTCATTTTTTCCCACTAATATTCTGTTATTATTCTTTTATTATGGAATATGAAAAAAAAAATGTCTTTATGATTTTTACTTTAATGTCTCATAGTCATTTCTTGATCAAATGAGTTCAAATTTATGATTTTTTTAAATAGCTTAAAATACATAGTTTATTAGCCTATGAGACAAATATGATAATGGTGAAAAAGTATATAAATGATTATAAATAATTGTAAAATTAATATATTATGTGTGTATATATAATTATAAAATTATATGAATAATTTATTGTTTTAGTTTGATTTAATTTTTTTTCAATTTTTATTAATAAAATAAAATCAAATATTATTGATTTTCTAAATTTTAAAATCAAATCAATCAAATCCAAATAAATATTAATGAATTTAATATTTTTAGGTTGATTTTTTATTTAGATCAAATTTTATTAAATCGTGAACAATAAATATTTTTGTGCAAGATTTTATAATTAAATAAGTGGTTTTAATTTGTTGATCCACGTCAATATTTGGAAAACAACTTATGATATATCTTTCAAATCACTTCCATTTTCATAATCGTATTTATATCGTTTTGTGTTTGGTGCAAATTTTTCATGTTGCATTTTTAAAGATTTAATGGGTATTTCTTGGTATTTAATTTCATTAAAATTTATGTATAAATTGTTAAATATTTAACAGGTACTAAGGCGTCATTTTATAACAAATTTAAAGGACTAAAATTATAAAATGAATATTTAAGGTATCATTCTGAACATACCGTCAAACATACGCAACTATTTTTGCCAAATTCTCTTAGCTTTTTCTCTACGCTTCCCTGCTTCTGAAATTTTCACTCTGCTATCGCCAAATCCTCCATTCTTTAGAAGCGCTTAACACTTCCAGCGGAGATCGTCCGGTAAGCCCTCGCTTTCATCTTATTTATGTATAATCGGAAAAAATTTCAAGTTTTCAATTAGTTGCTCAAACTTGGGATTGACAGCGGCGAAATCAGAAATTTTCACCTTAAATTATGAATAAGTTGATGCAGGAAGAAGCATTTAAAAGGGGGGTTTGTAGTTCGAACAAGAATGGGATTTTTTGATACCAATTGATGCACAATGGTAGTCAATTAAGCATCAACTACGAAGAACAATTCTAGGAGCTTTGAACTCGAAGAACTGAGATACTAATTCAGAGCTTGCAGCTGAGATATTAGAAAGAGAATTTTAGAAGAAAGAGAAATGTATTATCATTCAATGCCTTAAACTCCAATCCTTTACATTGTATATATGGATATATTCCACAACTAAAATTCAACTGCTACACTGGCTGTTATAACAGAATAACAGAATTGTAACTAACTAATGAATCCCTCCACTAACTGACTTGTAATATCTGTAGACTTGCATCAATACCCACTACAAAAGTACAGACTTGTCCTCAAGGCTGAAAGGAAGGAAATCTATGTTGAATGTCAGACAAGTACTCCCAAGTAGCTTGAGAAGAATCAATAGTAGTTCACTTCACAAGCACTTGAACCACAGCCTTGTTGCCTCTTTTCACAAGCCTCCTGTCTAACACACCTTCAGGCATAGGGCAATATGGACTGGACAAGTGAAATACAGGTGGATGATTGATGACATATGGGACCTCATGACACTTCTTCAACTGAGAGACGTGAAATGTATGATGAATTAGGACATCAGTTGGCAAAAGTAATTTATAGGCAACCACTCCAACTTTAGCAGCAATAGGATAGGGACCAAAATACTTAGCAGCCAACTTGTTAAAGGGTCTAACAACAACTGAAACTTGCCTATAAGGTTGCAGCTTAAGGTAAACCCAATCTCCTACCTCGAAACATCTGTCAGACCTATGTCGATCAGCCAAGTCTTTCATTCTTTGTTGGGCTCTCTGAATATGAAACTTCAAAAGATGAATGATTGCTTCTCTAGCAGCCAATGATCTATCTACCATGTCAGATGAAGACTCACCTGCTAAGTAAGGAAGGTGAATGGGGGGTTTCTGACCATATAAAACTTCATAAGGAGTGCATTTGAGAGCAGTGTGATAAGTAGTATTACACCACCACTCAGCAAGCGGTAAATAACTTGACCATTCCTTAGGGCTATCAGAACAAAAACATCGCAGATAAGTTTCCAATGTCTTATTCAAAACCTCCGTTTGTCCATCTGTTTGAGGATGATAAGCAGTACTCCTCTGTAACTGAAACCCTTGTATTGTAAACAATTTGTGCCAGAATTTACTAAGGAACACAGGATCTCTATCACTTGTCAATGTAGCTGGCATGCCATGAAGTTTAAAAACATTGTCCAAGAAGCACTGTGCTACGGACTGAGCAGTATAAGGATGTTGTAGGCTCATGAAATGGCCATATTTGCTCAACCTATCAACCACCACCAAGATAACATTCTTGCCATTAGACTTAGGTAAACCCTCAATGAAGTCTAAACACACATCAGTCCATACTCCATCTGGAATAGGCAAAGGCTGCAGTAAGCCTGGATAGGCAGAAACATCATACTTGTGCCTCTGACAGACATCACATTTGTTGATGAAGTCCCTCACATCTTGACTTAGAGACTTCCAATAAAATAGAGATTGTATCCTCTTAATGGTAGCATCCATGCCAGAATGTCCACTTTGTGTAGTAGAATGCCACAATGAAATAATTGTCTTTCTCAAGTGGTAATTGGCTCCAACTACCAATCTACCCTTCCACCTAAGCTGAGCATTACACCAAGTAAAAGACTTGAAAGGCTGAACCTGTAGTTTAGTAATCAAAGTCTGCAAAGATGCATCAGTTAACCAAGTTCCCTTGATCTGCTCATATAGAGAATCATTAGGTGTCAATAAGGAGATAGCTAATAACTCAGCATTAGGCTTCCTAGATAAGGCATCAGCAACTTTGTTGTCTATACCCTTCTTATATTCAATTGAAAAGTCGAAAGCCATTAGTTTGAAAATACCAACCACCTGAAAGTTAGTGTGGAGGTTTTGTTCCAACAAATGCTTCAAAGCTTTTTGATCAGTCTTGACAATGAAGGGCCTGCCTATCAAATAGTGGGACCATTTAGTGACAGCAAATATAAGAGCCATTAGTTCCCTATCATAGACAAACATGGCTTGGTGTCTAGGAGCCAGTGATCTGCTAATATAGGCTATAAGGTGGCCTTGTTGCATTAGCACAACACCAATTTCCTTCCCACTTTCATCAGTTTCCACCACAAAAGGTTTAGAGTAATCAGGCATAGCTAACACTGGGGCAGAAATCAAGGCTTGCTTCAGTTCCTCAAATGTTGTTGTAGCATGCTCAGTCCAAGTATATCCATCCTTCTTGAGTAACTCATGTAATGGCTTACAAATGGATCCAAATCCTTGTATAAACCTTCTGTAATATCCAGCAAGTCCCAAGAACCCCC